CCCCAAGAACAGCCTCCTCCTCCTCCTCCTCCTCCTCCTCCTCCTCCGTGCAACCTGAGGGATGGGGAGAGATTTTAGGCTTAATTCCGAGGTAGCAGAATCCGGCTTGGATGCAAGTCAGAGGAGAATGGGGATGAGCCAGGGATAGGACAGAGGGACCGAGAACCATTTCCCCCGGTACTCTGAGGAGAAACTCAGTAACGTTAAAAGTTATTTTTCGGTGAGTTCTAGAAACAGTTTTAGGGCAGAGGCATCGAAATAATGAAAGCACAAGCTTTCGGGGCTGAAGTCCGTCACGTTTTCCCGGAAGTGTCTGCTTCCCCCAACCCCTACACCTTTTGGATGCCACAAGACTCTTCGTTGTCAGCAAATTCATCGCAGTATTCTTTGAATGTTCTTTGCGCCCGTAGATCGCCCAGCGGAAAGCAGAACGTCAAAATGGCATGCAACATGGGAAAGGGAGTTGGGTTCACCCATCTTGGTGCATGCCACTTTTTCTTGCTCATTCTCAAGACTTGCTTCTTTTCTTAAGCAAGGGGCATAAGAAGGAAATTCGCCAGGCTAACGTGTCAGTGCCTTGCTCTTTGGCTTACTCATTCCAAATTGCATTTTCTAAACGTCCTTCACGTTCACAAACACTTCTAATTGTATGTAAGGAATCGATTAGGAGGGATAATCCCTGAATAATCTATTGCTTAACCTCCCCCCGCCCTGCCCTTGTTCTCGAAATCCTAAAAAGATTTAAGGAAGGAATAATATTCATGTTATGATATTATGTTACATAAATGCTAAGTTAAATACCGGAGCAGTCCCGTGTTCATGTTTCACGGACGGCGATAGTAATGCCTTTCTAAACGCCTCAAATAATAACAACAGAATTACAGCAATAGAATAATAGCAATATGCACACCCTGTATTAATATGAATGTGCCCATTCCCCCCCCCCCGCATCCTTGAGGTTTTAATTTGCTGCCCATGAGAATTGCGTGGAAAACTAAGAGAAATGCAAATATTCGCATGAACGCACAGATACATTCATAAAGTTTACGCATTTCAATTTTCCAGGCTGCCTTTCCGGTTAGAATTATATGACCTGGGTCACCTGAAGACAAGATGATCGGTACCCACACTCCGTTTCACTTTGGCTTCCTCGGCCAGGGCTAGTTTTATAGCCAACTGTCTGCAGCACGTCTGAGACGCGGAAATGCACTTGCCAGCCGAGGTACTTACCGAGAGAAGCCTGCACTGCTTCGGAGGCAGAGAAGGCCAGTAGTGAGCCCTCCTTGGCCAAGAATGCCTTGCCGTCTTCAGCTTCTGCCTGAATGGCATCCACCTTGTCAAAACTGCCCTGGAGAGCTTGTGGTGCAAACTTTCTCGCCGCCTCTTGGTGCTGCGGGGAAGCCGAGAATGTGCCCGGCAGGGTGGCCATGAGGGTGGAAGTTAAAGCCATGCCCTGTGCCAGACTGGAGCAAAAACTGGTGGGTAGGCTGGAAATCTGGTGATGGTGTGAGGGCGGCAGACTTGTCTGGGGCATGGCGGCCGGTGGTGGTGGAGGAGGCGGCAGGACTACTGGTCTGTAGGGCATGAACATAGGGTAGCCTGTGTAGACGAAGTGGCCCGGGCTGGGCTGAGGCGGGCTGCCGATGAGCGAGTCTATGCTGAAGGCAGTGCTGCTTCCCAAAGGGCGCGGCATCATCATGAGAGACGGCTGAAAAGCTGCACTCATAGAGGCGCTACAGGCCAAGGAGGCGCGCGAGACAAGAAGCAGACGGGGTGGCCCGGTGGCTTTAGGGCCAGGTGCTGGCCGGGGACGAGCGGGACCAGGACTGGCGGCGGCGGCGGCGGATGTAGGGGACTGCCTGGACTGGGCAACAGAGGGTCAAAGTTGGGTCTCCCTGTCCGCGGCAGGGAGACATCGGGTCGAGTTGCCTTGAGCCGTGATCCAATCCGAACCTAGACACTTCCCAGGAAAGGCCTGCCTGCCTTCTTTCTGTCCCTCGGAGCGCGCTCTCTCTCTTGGGGCCCTCAGAGAGCCAGACGCCAAGCGCTCTCTCTCTCTCTCTCTCACTCACTCACTCTTGGGTGTCGGCGGTACCTTTGAATCGCGCTCTTCTTTCTCATTCACATTTTGCCAGGCTCGGAACCTTTCCGGACCACGTGGCTGCCTCTCTCCCTCTTCATTGGCCAGGAAGTGTGAGGGAGAGGGATGGGGAGAGGAATGTGCGGCGGAGCGGCGGCGGCGAAGAGATTTTAACTCCGCCCCTCCTCCGGTCCGCGGAAAGGGAGCCGAGTCCGACAATCTGGTAGCGCATCCTCTGAAGCTTGGCTTGACGGGAAGCTTTCCGCACTCGTGCGGGGCGGACGTGTGCAAGAACGGGGGTGCAATTTGCCGCCCACTGCTTTGCTTGTCTCTTGCCCTGACTGGGACAGAGTGTTCGGTAGACCTGATGCATCCGCGAGGAAACGAGCCTCCCTGTGCTGCTCTGTGACCTGAGGCACACCCCCCGGAAGGCCAAGGCCCGGGTCTTCATTTGTCCCTGAGGGTGAGCAACAGGCAAAGATCGGCTGGGATCCCAACCCCTGACACTCAGCAGCTGGTTCCGAGCGCTCCATCCGATTCCTCCGCTTGTGACTTTGGATCCCTTCAATTCCGTGCCGGTTTTATCCCCCGCCCACATATCCTTTCCTCTGATCCTTTCCGAACGCTTCTTTTGCCCGCGGAAGGCTGGAGCCTGGAATGATCAGGAGGGTCGGGGGCTCCAGAACTCGGGGAGATGGATTAGCAGCATCCGCCCCCACCCGCTCCGCGGCGCGCGCCTCACTGGTTTCCCCTCTCCTTCGTCAGAGGGGCTGCTTTGGCTCTTGGAAATAATGATTTAAGGGTCAGCGGCAGTGACGTAAGAAATCGTACACGGGAACTGTAGACACCACTTGCCTGAAGTCAAAAGTTTGACGATATTTGAAGGAACTTATTGTCGTCTAGATGGGAGGACGGCTGCATTTAGCCAGAAAATCTTCCTACCCGAGCCTGCAATTGCTACTAAAATTTAATGACCTCCACTGGGGAGAATGCCTTTTGGAGACCCTAACAAGATAACGATCAGAGAGAAATGAGGGTCGTTACATGGGTAATGGGAATTTCTTTACAAGAGTAGTTAATTGGAAAATAAAGACTAATCGATATTTATGAACGTATCGATCTAAACCTTTGTAGATCCAGCCTTTCTGTGTCTTGTCTCCTTCACCCGCATTTCTGCCCCTTTGCGCTACACGTTTTGCGTTTTCCCAGAAAAGACCAGAAGCCATTTGAAAAATCGCATACCTTTCCCCTCACTTCGGTCCCTCCTCTTAGCAGCCTTTGCGAGGAAAACATGCTATTCCTGAAAAAGAAGTGAAGGATTGAGGGGGGGGGGGGACCTTTCATCTCCAGAAACAGGGCAGCAACAGCAGCAGGGAACAGTAAGCCCGGGCAGGCAGAAACAGGACGTCTGTTTGAATTTGAACTCAGTTCCTCTCACTCCCTTCTTCATTTCTACTAAGCCTGGCAGTTTCGCAGGGTATAAAACCTTAGTCCCCTCCTCCCCTCTCCGTTCCCTGCACTCCCCTCAAAACAGGTTTCCTCATTTCCTTATGCTCCCCTTGTATGATGGTTGCCAGTTTGGGAAGGGACAATAGATTGGATAGCGTTTCTGGAAAGACCTATTTTTGGAAAGCTCGGTTTGATCGTTGGTCATACCATTTAACTATTACCACCCGCTGGATGATTCCAACGCCTAGCAAGGGTTGTAACGATTAGGCAACATCGATCCCAGACCCCTTTTGCAGTCTGCTGAATGCCAGAAAAGTACCGCCAAGACACCCCTCCCCCGCGCCCGCGCCTGTTTCCCACTCCATTCCTCGGGGAGATTTATGGCTGGGCAGAAAGGGGGTTCTGGGGGAGGGAGAAAGGAGGAGCCGTCTGCTTTTAGAAGTACCGGAGGAGGCTCGGCCTTCCCGCCTCGGGTCCTGAGGGAACCAGAAGCCAAATTCAAAACTCGGGTTTCCTCGGACCCTGGTCCCTAACATTTCCCACACGCCTCCTTATCCTGAGGCAAAGGGCCACCCCGATGGCTGATCCCGATCAAGCGGCGCGGTCTTCGGGCTTGGCCGCGCTGTTGCTTCGACTCCAGGCTTGAGAATCGCTCCCAATTTTGCTGCGAGGCGGTTCGCGTCGTCAGGCTGAGGGGACGGGGAGTTTGGAATGTCGGGTTCCTTCGGGATGGAGTGACTATCCCCTCCTTGAAATAGCAGTTGACTGCAGGCTCAAGGATCTGAGGGAGCTTGTTGGCTTGGCTAGAAAAACATTTTTTCCGCCCAAGTTTATCTAAAAGTCCTGCCGGGGCAGGTTTCGCGAAGAGTTCTTGTGTAAAAGGAAACGTTCTCCGGAGAAGGCATCGGAGGCATCGATTTGCGAGGAGCAAACAGATGGGAGCCTCGTCTCTCCCTCCCTCCTCCTTTTTCTTTTCTGTCTTTCTTTTCTTTCTTCCTTCTTTTCCCCTTTCCCCAATAAACTATTTTATTCACTCTTTCGAAGAGATGGTGGAGGAGAGAATCCGCTTCGGAAAGTCTCCCCCCTCTATAGAGTTGACGTAGGCAGCTTTAATGGAAGGCACCCCCCACCCTCAGCTTTTGAAATGGCTTCTGCAATTATGTCAAAGAGTCATTCACTAGCCCGGACGAATTAAAAAGGACCGAGTCTGCTCCTTTTTCACGGGCAGGCCTCTCGTGTTTGGCTTTTCAAAGCCCTTCCAACACGATGTCTTTCTTGAGAACAAAAGGCAGGACAGGGAAAAGAAAAGAGCCCCAAACTTGTAAATCGAACGTCAAGGGAACTTTGAAACAATCTAGAGCCCATAAATAATGATAAAGGACCTGGCAAAAAGGCAAACCCATTCGATTAATAGAGATTCCCAGGCAATGATCAAGTGGCTTATTTTAAAGAGGAACGGCACTCAAAACAAAAGCAAAAACGAAACATCTAAAGGTTTCATTTGCATTCGTCTAACTTGAAAGATTTTTTTTTTTTTTTTGCTTTTAAATGTGAGCAACTATTAGCTTTTCCTTAAAGATCCGGCCGGGGGCGGAGGAGGGGCGGATGAACTAAAAAAATAAACTTTTCAAACTACCCCTTTTCCGCGTTGAAAGAAAGGGGTGTCTACCGTTGCTGGGGCTTATCTTGCCGCCCGGAGAAGATTGTCAGTAAGGTTGTCAACAAGTTAAAGTTCTGAGTTTCTTTTTTTTAATGGAAGCTTATCAAATCAGGGACCTTCAGATCGTTCTGTACTTAATTAAGAAAACATAGACATTTTTTGTACTGGTGTTTTAAAACGCTTTCTCGCCCTTCTCATCTCGAAATTTTTATTTGCTCATTTGGAATCAGAATGGAGGTGATTTTGCTTTTGACTCAACAATGCCTGTCTTAAATTTGAACCAGGAGTTTCTTTTTGGCATTTCACTTAATGGCTGGGGTGGAGTCGTTTGATAGCAGATTAGGGAGTGATTATTTCGGTTAATGAGTGACAATGCCTGATTTCTCTCCACTACCATTTCCTCCAATTTGTATCTTAATTATGACAGGATGATGATTTTTATCCTAAAATTTATATATTGTAAAAATATAAAGAGCTAGGCACTGCCAATAACTGGATTTTGTTTTCAATTGAAATTCAACTTTTTACCCGAAGGACAGAATGATGCTCTTGTAGTAGTTGAATAGTTTCCAGCCAAACGAGAAAACTTGAGTGCATTGTGCTCAATGAAAGAAATGAAAACCTCTCAGTCGCGGGTGGGGGGAGGGAAGTGAGGGAGAGGAAAAGAGATGGAGACCGAGCTAGAGAGCAGGAGTGGGACTCGACCTATCCTCAGCCGCCATTCCTCTTTGGTTTAGTGACCACATAGCCAAGGGAATGGTCTCCTTTTGCAGACAACCCCCCCCCCGTCTCTCCTTCCAAGAGTGCACCCCGAAGATGCTGGCATCCATTCCTGGAGCGCCAACTGTCTTGCCTGAGAGGTGAATGTATTGAAAGTGCGATTGCTACCTCGATAAAAACTTAGATGAAAATGGACATTAAATTTATATTACCGGTAGAGCTGCAGGAAGAAGGTGGGGATAGGACTAGCATTTAATCCAGAATAATTAACCTGGATAAATAAATTAATTTAGATGTGAACATAAATAATCCACTACTGAAATCTGGACTGTGTGTTATACAGCATTGTGTAACTCTCCTGTTATTCAGAATAGGATGAAATGCGCCCCTGTGCAAGTGTTTGTAGGGCATGTGCTTTTTCCTGGGCTTGCAAAGGGTCAAGCTTCGCCTTCTCTCGAGGCAGGGGGCCAAGGACCATTGGCTTGCTCTGAAAGAGACTCGGCGATCCGCAGCATTTGATATCTCAAAGGGACCTCCAGGAGAGAAAGAAACGCGCTCTTTCCTCCGCTCTGTAGCCTGCTAGGTACCGGCTGTGATTATGGTGGTTTAAATCTACCTCTCTCGGCAGAGGAAGCGCTGCGCTCTGGTGCAGATCAAAGGCAGCAGGGCTCTTAAAGCTGCAGTTCTGCTTCCGTCCCCGCCTGGGACTTGTAATCCGCGGGCTGCAAATGTGCAGCCCGTCTCCTTCTACCGGAGCGCGAGCAGGGCAGCAGAGAGGCTGCCACACTTTTGCGACTCTTCCAGCGGGCCAGGCCAATCGAAAGCCGCGCGCCTGGGTGGGAGAGGGGACTGAATTGTGGCAGTGGAACATCGAGATTTCAGGTCCAAGAAAGGTAGCGAGAGGCCGCTGCTCAGCTCCGTCCCCTGCGCAGAGACTCGGAAGAGGAGAAGCAAAGCCGTGCCAGGCAGCTAGGCGTGCGCCCACGGGACGGCCTTTGAGACTGAAACAAGCCAGACACGAGCGCCGAGGCATCGCGGCCAAAGATGCGCGGGGCCATTTCCCACGACAAAGCTGCCGCCTTTGGGGAATTTTTCAGAGATTC